GGTAAAATCAGTGATACATACAATTCCTTATGTAAAATGTCACGTGATACGTGCTTCTTCCACTGCTGCACGCAGCTTCATTTATGTTGGAATGTCAGGTGTGCTAATGTTTCATCGAGTCTCAGTTTGAAAGATTCAATGCTTGGAGCGCAGACTATATACGATGGGAGAGAGTTCCAGATTGAACAGACTCTGACTGAGAATGACTGGTGCCGGCATTCCAAGGGGCATTTTGAGACCACTAGTTTGAATGGATGTCCTGTAAGATGAACGTTGGGTGATAATTTCAGAAGCGAGCGACACGGATGGCTTGGGTTTTGCATTAGTTGGTATACCATAATCATATCTTTGATGCGCCGGTAGTGATTGGAATATAACCCCAGTGACTTCAATCTCTCTGCTTATGAATACCAATTCAACCCCCTGGTCATTTTGGTGGCCATCCTTTGTGGACGCTCCAGCATTTTGCAATCATGTTGTAGCCATGGATTCCATGCTTAGATAGCGCACTGTGAGCGGGCGAATGTATGCTGATAGTAGACGGGGGAAAGCGCTGACTCAAACCGGCCAAAGACCCGCTTAAGCAAATCGAAATTCTTTATAGCTACGTTTAACACCTTGGTGCAATTGAGTGAGCAGCTTAAGTTTTCTTGAATGATGATGCCCAGGTCCTTCTCACTTGAGGCGTGTGGCAATTGTTCAGTTCCGAGGAATAGATCTTATTAAGCAAATCCCCAATGGATTAGTTTGATAAACATTACCTCAATGTCTTTTGTTAATATCTCATTTCATCCACCAGCCGTCCCCTCCCCCCTCGCGAGCTATGCAGGATCAGACTAGTTTTTTAATCTCATAAAAGTTGCCTGGACAAATTTTCGTCCTATATGAATTCGGGGTTTTCAGTTTTTGCGGATCTTAAAGTGGAGTTCGGTTGAGATGATAGTAAGCTATCCTGAAGCTGCCTCCCTTGAATAGTGTTCCGGAAAAGTTTATTTATCTTTTAAATTTACTCCATGCCAATCGAAGAAACCGCGTTGCAGCTTACAGCTGCTTTTCACCTCAATTCTGAGGGCGTATTTCACCCACGTCTGAATCCAGACTGTGTCCAACAAATCATAGTACAATAATCTTTTTAAAAGAGGAAAGTTCTATGATTTGCCATTGAGTGGAATATTGCCAGGTTCCCAGGTAAATTCGGGCGAATTTTATTGGGGAATTCACAACCAGTGCCTTTGACTAGCCCAAGTTTGACCTGCGGTGTGTGAAAACCGCAGTCCGTTGGGGGGCGGTGTTCAGTTCATCGGATGATGCGCTCTTTAGACCGGATCAATAGTCCAAGGTGCCCAGTGCACCTCGATGCCCAATCGAGTCGGTGACCCATTGTCACAACCACGTTTATATATGGGTGCGTGTCGTAAGCTTCCGCTTAACCAATTTGGAATAAGGTATTTTAGCCAACTGCCCTAGGTGAACTTCCAGTAGTCCACCGACTCGGCCATAGCTCTGAATGTTGGCTTTTTGTCCTCTCTCTTTTGTGGAAAAATGCCTCCGCCACCAGAAGGCGGTGACCTCCTCAGCAGAAGCTGTTTGAGACCCTTGGTCATACAGGAGCATTTCACGAGGTGCAAGGGAGGGGTGACCGACCACACCCAACCCGACCATACTGAGCCTTTCGGGAGGGTTTTAGGGTGCTCTCAGCTTTTGTGGCAAACGGCAATTAATATGGTTTCAGAACTATATTGGACGTCCTGTTAGGATGGAGTTCTTTAAATGCTCACAATTGAAAATCTGATATTTACTTTTTACTTTTGAGAGACTACCCCCTGCGGGAGGATAAGTCCGTTTGTTGGATATCTTTCATGATGGCGGACCATGCATGACGATCGGTAGCAAGGTTGACGCAGTGTGAAATCCAGTTGGGATGCCATTCATGAATTCCGTGTACGGATTAGAGGCCCAGCAATTCCAAGTGCGCCTTGATCATTCTGCTCCAGGTCCCCAGTTGACTACTGACTCGGCAACGCCATCCACGCACACTGTGCGGGGGCTACAACCTGTTGCGAGTGTCGACAAGCTCTCCGTTAATCGAGAAGGGTTCTCTTGTAGCAGAAGTTTCGGTCGAAAATGTCTTGGTTTTTGACGTGTGGATCTCTAGTCCAGTGGTATGTGAAAGCTGTTTTATACAACTGACAACAGGTTGGAGGTTGTCCATGGCGTCTCCTAGTACAACGACATCATCCGCAAACAGGTCAGCAATCCATGTACCTGGTTCATGTTGCACTTTGAGGTAGTTAGCGGCTTGCGGACAAGCATGATTCCAAC